CTTTATACTCGTATGCTAATTCTATCCTAATTCAAAACAAAATAATGTAAATAGAAAGTATAACAATGCAGATAATTTAACTCTCTTCTTTTCAGAATTGGTTTTCCTTTATATTTATTTAATGTACTATTTCTAACTTGAATCAACATTCAATGTATTTTGCTCTGCGACTACTTCCTTTTATCTATTTCCTTTTCCTCTCTATTCTATGAATGAAAATAGTAAATTTAGTCTTTCACTCTATCTGTATTCATATGAATTAATCCCTGTCGTTATCTCTATATAAAATTACCGGATCCTTGTCTCATTTTCCGATTAACAACTGGACGTATCAAAAATAGACTTAAATTTAATCTTTGTATTGTTTAAAAGATGAAGCTTTTCATTCATAATTAATTATGGTATACAATTTTTGTAATTTCGGATTATTTGATAATTTTTTAACATTTGAAAATTTGTACTTTTGAAATATAAATCTCAATTTTGTCCTTTTATATTTTTCTTATGTAAAGTGTCACAGAAAGAAATTTTGGATATAAAACAAAAAGTTTATTAATTACTGTATATTTGCTCTATTTATATACACGCAGGAAAAGTATAATTTTGAGAAACTAAAAATGTGTATCTATTAGTGATTTACATTATTATTATGTTATTATGACTAATTGAAGCGAAAAATTCGGGTGAAAAAGGATAGACGTGCCTTACTTTTCGAATTCATATCGAATGCGGTTTCTCTAATAATTATGTAAAATAGTAGTTTGCACATTCGTAACTTAGTTCTGTGGGTTATTAATTGTTATTAATTTATCTCTCCGAGTATTAATTAATCAATTTTCTTTTATAAAAACATTTGAAAGTATTCAAAGCAAGTAATATATGAGATGATGACCAAAGTAATTCAATCAATAATAAGAGAATAACCGAAAATGTAAATACTGTATATAGAGTTACATTACGACATGTAATGAATTGTCGTAAGTCAAGACAATTCAAGATGTGTATTTAGTTTTTTCGTTCGACTAATTACGCAGTTCGTGGACAATTTAACGTTTAATTTGTCCATCGATCGAAGACATTTTGTTTATAGAATTAATCTGATCATGTCGAATGCGAAAGAAAAGAATTTTTAGTTTCATTGAGGAACTGAAACTTCGTTTGCAAAGCCGTACAGCACATGTATAACATTCTATTCTGTTAACTGTGTTAAAATTATAGACAAAATTGTTATAATAAATTATTTACAAATTTTAATAACTTTCTTTTTTCGAAACGTTTTGTAATCTTTCTCCATTTATGTCGAATCTTCATCTATCTTGCTATGTGCTGTACAGTACATTACTGAGACTTCACTTCTTTAAAATTAGGCTTAATCTCCAATAATTACGTTTTCCGCGAGAAGTAATAGTTAAAACCATCCTCCCCTTTACTAATATTATTTATTTTCGACTTCATTTATAAATACCTGTATTTCAAAAGAAGTGAAATAAGGCCTTATTTTTCTTTTTCATTTTATCACTGTAACTTATGCCGTATACAACTGGCGCCATTTGTAAGTTTCTGCACTGTTTTCTTATTGAAAAAAGCAGTAAACTCTCGAAATCAGATCACTGATATTATGTTGTAAATAGTACAAACTTTGAAACCACCCAATTTTTCACTGGGCATGGGAGATTAGTAACCTAGGTTTGGCAAATCTGCAACAGACATCTGTACCATCTGTAATTGCCGTGATGGGATTGAGCACTATATACACATGTGTCCAATGACCGAGGATGCTGGCATGAGCTTGCCCTTGCTCTTAGCCACAGGAAGATAAAGACAAAGTTAAAGTACGAAGAACTATGTGAACTGCTTGCTGCAAGTAATGTGATTGTGCATTGTAAACTGGTATGACATGAATATGAAAGATGAGCAGCATTTACGCATGCCATATCCTACTTTTACAAGTTTTTTATACAGTATTCATTTTACTACAAATATAAATTATATAGAAAGCAATTTTACAATTCTTTTTTAACGTATTTTAATATCAGGGTTACGATACAACCGCCNAAAATATACGTATTTTGGAAATGTTGAGTCGGATTAGTGTAGAATCGATTAATTTTATGGAAGAAAACCTTTCAATCAGCCGTAGTCTGTAAACTTGACACGTGTCGGGCTGTGATTGGTACGACTTGTAAGAAATCGGATTCCTAATAAATTGGAACGTATCTATACCTTATAGGGGGGTCGACTGTATTTGTAATTTCGGATTAATTTATAATTTTTTAACATTTAAAATTTGTACTTTTGAAATCTGAATCTTAATTTTGTCCTTTTATATTTTTATTATGGAAAATATCACAAAAAAAAATTTTGGATATAAAACGAAATGTTTATTAATTACTGCATATTTGCTCTATTTATATACGGGCAGGAAAGGTATAATTTTGAAAAATTAAAAATGTGTATCCACTGGTGATTTTCAAACATTATTATTATTATTATGTATAATTAAAGCACAAAATTCGAGTAAAGAAGGATGGTCGTACCTTACTTTTTCGACTTGACATCGAATTCGGTTTCTCTAATGAATATGTAAATTAGCAGTTTGTAAATTTGTGACTCAGTTCTCTGGGTTATTATCTGTTATTAAATTATGTTTTCGAGTATTAATTAATTAAATTCCTTTTATAAACACGATTGAAAGTATTCAAATCAAGTAATATCTGAGATGATGACAGAAATAATACAAGTCATAATAATCGAAAACGTCGTAAATATACGTCGTTATATTACGACTTGTAGTGGGTTGTCATAAGTCAAGACAATTCAAGATGTGTATTTAGTTTTTTCGTTCGACTAATTACACAATTCATGGACAATTTAATGTTTATTTCGTCGATCGATCGAAGACATTTCGTAACTGTCATTGTAAACTGGTATGACATGAATATGAAAGATGCGCGGCATTCATGCATGACATATTCTAATTTTACAAGTTTATTATACAGTATTTATTTTATAGAAAACGTGAATTACATAGGAAGCAATTTTACATTTTTAAACGTATTTTAATAACAGGGTCACAATACAACAGCCCATTCTATGTCATGGACCCTTTATTTCCTGGGAAGATTCCACGAAATCCAAGAAGAACTGTATCTAGAATTGCAAGAAATTTTCAAAAATGATAGGAACAGGAATATTACTATCTATGACACAACGAAAATGACGGACTTAGAATGCGTAATTAAGGTAACTTCTTAATTTCTTTAAATACACTTAAAGATTAGTTTTATATATTACAATTTTCAGGAGTCGATGAGAATCTATCCACCTGCTCCTTTTATTGCATGAAAAAATCCTTCAGAAATGAAAATAAGTAATTTTTGATATCATGGAATTTGTTTCTTAATAATAATTTTTTATATTTTTTTATTGACTCGAAGTATTAAATCGTTGTCATTCAAATAGGTAATTACATGTTGCCTGCAAATTCGACTCTTGTCATAAATATCTATGGCATCCATCATAATCCTTCTGTTTACGAAAATCCCGAGGTGTTCGATGCAGACCGTTTTTTACCTGTAAACTATAAAAATCTTCATCTTTATGCATTTCTGCCATTTTCTGCCGGTCCACGAAATTGTCTCGGTAGGTGATTAGAGAATAAATACAAAAAAAAAGAATTATGTCATTAAAATAATTTATTTACAGGAAGTAAACTTGCCATGATTTAAATGAAAATGGTTTTGGCAAACGTTCTTCGTAATTTTAAAGTTTACTCTTTGCATCCTCAAGATAAGATCGTTACTTCATACTCAGTTATTCTCACCTCAACATTAGGCATAAGAATGTGTGTAGAAAAAAGACAAATGTTGTAAAATATTTAAAATAAATACATTCAGATACCGCTACGATATCGCGCCAGCACATATAACAATAATGACCTCAAGTAGACCAGTGATACTGCCTTTATTCACATTACAGCCTTACATCGCGCCAAATGATTGCCATGTATTGTGCGTCTTGAGCAACGAGTTTTTGGATATACACTCCAATGGCAATACATCACATTTGAAACTTTGTTTATAAAAAAAC